AGGCGTGCGCGGCGTGTTCCGTCCCTTGACAGCACTCAGATGCTCCTATTGTAGCATGGGGGTGAGGGATGGGATAGAAAAGGTAAGGGTGGTAGCTATGTGGGTTCTATCAGGCGACCCACAAAAGAGAATGTATTTGAATGCGTGCAGATGGCATGTGACCTCACATTTGCAGCATAGCAGATGCTGCATGGCATCCGCGATCCGTGCGAGAGTGTGCAACTGATCTTGCCGCTCTCGGGGTAGTCGCACACCCAGGCGTACAGCAGGGGCCGCACGGTTTGCCAATCACCGAAAGGGTCCCCGAGACGGAACCCGCTGCAAGGAACAAGTAGAGGGGCAACTGGAATTCGGGTTACGGCTTTTGGGGAAGAACGACAAGGGGCAAAGGGCCATGCTATATACAGAGAGGGTTTGCATACCATGCAGGTGGTCAGATGATGTTTTAGCAAGATGCAAACCGAGTACGGACCTGGCGATGCCATCAAGAAGCGGCTGCAGCACGGTGATGACGCAACGCTGGAAGAGCATCACCTTCTCCACGGCAGACATTGCAGACGGGGGGATAGGAAGGAGGGCAAGTAGTGTGTGCCCGGCTTTCCCCCATCGCTTGGCCTGGGAGATGTTGGCCAGCGTCATCATGAGCAGCCACGCCTTCTTCCGGCCGTTGATGCTCATGTGCGTCACGTCCGAATATAAGATGATCCCCCCCACAACTTCGGACCAACCGAAGTGTTCCTGCAGTGCACGACAAAGCGGCAACGGACACACGGTTTAAGGCTCAAGATGCTCTTGACAGATCATTCAGCGATGGAGGCATGAGGAAGGATTGGGTTTGGGGTGGCAACGTGGTCTTTCCTTACCTGAGCATCGTTCCACCACGTTCCTGTTTCAGGCATGGTATAGCGACGGCCGCCTGCGTCAGGTTCCTCATCAACACGCGCCTTGAGCTTGAAGCCGGGCGCGTTGTTGGGATGTCCAAACATTTCAGCGAATGCCTGGTGTACAGTGGCGAAGGCAGGTGAGAGGAGAGGCGTGGTTAGTGGCGGTGAAGGTGGGTGTACGGTTAATACAATGATACCTACGTACATGCAAACCATGTGTGCCTCATCATCATTTCACGGCCTTGAATGCAAACTCGGCTTACCTGGGCTGAGTTCTGAAAGAGCAAGCGCTGTGGTGGATGGCCGTCAATCTCGAAGGTCGCTACCGACCATCCGCGATTGAGCCCTGCCAAACGCTCCATCTCGAACCGCTCCAGATCCTTACAGTTCCGGAGCTCCGAGATCACAAGAGGCGCAAGGCCGGGCTCTACGACTAGCTGAAGCAGGCCGTTGATGTCAACCTCGGCCATTCCCATTCTGCCATTCACGCGCCGAACGAAATGCAGCAGCTTCAACGCGAGTGGATTGAGGGGCGTGGCATTGCTCTGTCCGGAGATGGTTGTTGGCGGCGCGGCATGACTCCCTTCGGGCCGGCTCTCAGGATGGTCACTCGTGTCAGCCGCAGGAGCTCCTGGTTGTGGTTGATGTTCATCTTCAGGAGGCCCCTCGTTCACGTCGTTGGGAGTTTCGTCAATGTGAGCTTCAGGCACGCGTGGAGGACTGCTCACACTGACGGCGTTGGATGCGTTAGACGCTGTAGGTGAACCGGGAGTGGCTGGAGCGTCCGACAGAATGTCGTGGACGAATAGCAGAGCGTGAAGACCGGCGGTCGGTGCAGATCGCGTTGGCCTTGCCACGGCAGATAGTCCTTGGCAAGGGGTCCGCCGTGACTTATGACAGCCATAAACTTGGGCGTTGGGGAACCATCTGTTGCAGAACTCGCAGATGACGCCTGGTAAAGAGCCCATGTGTTACGGATCCGTTGTAGAGTCAAGAAATTGCCTATGAAGCTACTAGCCGTGATGAAGCTTGTGAACGCATTAAGTACTCCGTTCAAGAAGCCTGTGACAGCTACACGATCATCGCCAATGCGCGCACTATGATGGGCGGCTTGTATTACTGCACGACTGGCACTTGACATTGGCGCTAATGTTTATGACTGGCTAACGATGTCGAGCCGCGTGGTCGTTACCAGGCACGATACAGACCGCCCACCTCACGGGCCGTCTTCCCTACAAAGCGTGTCGCCCCCGTTTAGAGTGACCACGACGTGAGCAGAGGAGAATGCGGAGGATCTCAAGTCTCACGGTCGTGTGTGTGCGTCGTGAGCACGGTGAGAAGAACGTGCCTATTGAGTCAAGAACTTGTGTTTAGGAACCGTGCGTGAGAGTCGAGGGGGATGAGGAAGAGCGGGAAGAGATCCGTTTGGATCTGTGATTGTGTCGCGAATCGATATAGTGGGGAAATCAGAATCACGTAGGTGAGCTCAAGAGGCTTCAAACAAACATGGAAATGCAAATGTACAATTCCAACTTAACAAGACACTCAAGTCATTCATAACTAGTAAACATTTATATCCTTAGGACTGATGTTGAACAACCCTTACTTGATAACGATACGGGAAGTACCCAATAACTCCATGCCCTAACGTATGATTGTTGTGTCGAGCGAATACCTATAACGTGTCTTCTCTCGAGGTGTAGTGTACCTCTACGCACCGTGCTGAATGAATATGCAAGAATGGATGACAATGTCGTACAATAACACAACGATTTCAATGTCCATGCAATGATGGATGCCAATGCAACACCATACCACAACGGATTCACCATGTCGCGCAACCCGCAGGCCTGAACGCTGCATCGTCGCACAGTCTAACCATGGCTGTCGAGAACGCATCTACGCTTGTGCGTTGGGCCTGTGCTTCATACAACTCCTTCTAAGCACCTTGTTTAATGTCTGTGCAAGAATGGATGCCAATGCAACACCATACCACAACGGATTCACCATGTCGCGCAACCCGCAGGCCTGAACGCTGCATCGTCGCACAGTCTAACCATGGCTGTCGATAACGCATCTACGCTTGTGCGTTGGGCCTGTGCTTCATACAACTCCTTCTAAGCACCTTGTTTAGTGTCTGTGCAAGAATGGATGCCAATGCAACACCATACCACAACGGATTCACCATGTCGCACAACCCGCAGGCCTGAACGCTGCATTGTCGCACAGTCTAACCATGGCTGTCGATAACGCATCTACGCTTGTGCGTTGGGCCTGTGCTTCATACAACTCCTTCTAAGCACCTTGTTTAATGTCTGTGCAAGAATGGATGCCAATGCAACACCATACCACAACGGATTCACCATGCCGCGCAACCCGCAGGCCTGAGCGCTGCATCATCGCACAGTCTAACCATGGCTGTCGATAACGCATCTACGCTTGTGCGTTGGGCCTGTGCTTCATACCACTCCTTCTAAGCACCTTGTTTAATGTCTGTGCAAGAATGGATGCCAATGCAACACAATACCACAACGGATTCACCATGTCGCGCAACCCGCAGGCCTGAACGTTGCATCGTCGCACAGTCTAACCATGGCTGTCGATAACGCATCTACGCTTGTGCATTGGGCTTGTGCTTCATACCACTCCTTCTAAGCACCTTGTTTAATGTCTGTGCAAGAACGGATGACAATCCAACACCATACCACAGCGGATTCACGTTTGTTACAATTGATAGTCGTGTTAGAATGTCGTCTGCTGGTCCTAAACCATTGTGGCAAAGCCTAAAAGTGCACAGTACATCTGTCACAAGGAATAATTCTGGACGGTCGTTGTGTGTGTGACGTGAGAATCACCGATTAACTTACCCCAACCCCGTGGTAAACCATTTGCAACTTAGAGTTTGATGAAATGCATTGTTGTATGTTTGAATAAAATTTAGTGATTTATGCGTTGGCAACCGTGATTGGCCGACGCTTCTCAAACGATTCTTCCCGCAACACAGTCATCAGCCAAGAGGTACTTCAGCCATTGAGCGGCTGAGATCGAGCGGTAGGTGGGTTTATGCTAGGGTGGCTACACGTACACCGTCCAATATAGCCTGATAGGGTTACATTACTCTCTCTAGTCTCGCAACCCACCCCGACCACCCTCGTGTCCCACCCACCTGCTTCCGTCACTCCCTGGACCAACACTTTTACGCTGCTCGTTGCCTTGACACACGCCTCTCCGGCTCAACCCTTCCGCGCGATTTGCAACTTTGCTCCTCCTACAATTACCATGACACGTGCAACACGTAACCAAGCAATGGAGGAGGAACAGGCCGGCCGCCGCGCGACAAGGAGGACGTCTGAACAAATCGATAGGGAGTGTGGTGGCGGCGCTAAAAAAACTAATGCGTCCGTCGCTCGTGGCATTGGGCAGAAAAAAGCGGCGGCAAAAAAGGTCGCGCGCGGTCAACAGGAGGCCGGCAAGAAAGCGGAAGATAAGGGGCCTAAACCAACGCCACGCAAGCGTGATTCTACAGTGAACAAAGATGCGGATGTTGCCTCTGCTGGAACCGAGCCCGGTCCGAGTAAAGATGGCACCACTGGCGGCAACGAAGATCCGGGGCGAGGGAGCGCGAGTCTTGCACTCCCGTCGGCGGAGATGGAGGGATCGGCGACGGAGGGAAATCACGGAGGCGATCCCCGCGTCGAGCATGCCGCAACCAAGGAGTCCGAGGCGGCGGCAACGCAACACCATCTGACGCTGCTCCAGCCGACCGTGGTCGAAGTTTGTGCAACCGTGCTGAATAAGGACAAGGTGGGGGAGCACGAGTCGGAGGGACAGGTCGGTGGCTCTCCTCCTTTTGGTGGACGGGGGAGGCGTAGGCAGAGGAGGAGCGATGGGGAGGACGATTATGACACCGCCGTGCCCGGGGACCTCACCACGCGGGCGAAGAGGCGGCAGACGACAGGCAGTGCTGACAACGCCGGAGGCGTGGAAGTTCGGACAACGCGAGGCGCCAAGGAAGCTAGTGGCAAGGTGGGCGGTCAAGCATTGCGCCAGAAGGGCCGACCCGCAGCAAGAAAAACATCCGACGGAAGGAGAGGCAAGAAAGCAGTGACGGGGACAATGCAGAAACGGGGCGATGAACATCCTGGTGATGCGGAGGAGGAGGAAGATGAGGAGGAGGATGCTGAGGAAGAGGAGGATGAAGAGGATGCGGAGGAGGACGAAGAGGAGGATGAGGATGAGGAGGAGGAGGAGGAGGAGGAGGAGGAGGAGGAGGAGGAGGAGGAAGAGGAGGAGGAAGAGGAGGATGAGGAGGAGAATGAGGAGGAGGAGGAGGAGGAGGAGGAGGAGGAGGAGGAGGAGGAGGAGGAGGAGGAGGAACAGGGTGACGAAGAGGAGGAGGATGATGAGGAGGAGGCAGCAGAGGAGGAAGAGGAGGAGGAGGAGGAGGAGGAGGAGGAGGAGGAGGAGGAGGAGGAGGAGGAGGAGGAGGATGTGGCGCCAGTGAAGGGACGGGGCGGGCGTGGCAGATGGATGAGTGGTACAGGGAAGGTGGGGGGCCGGACTCGCCCTTCCCGAAAAGCGCGGGGCAGTTGACGCCGCGCGCGGCGAAGTAGCGGGCAAACAGAAGGCGCGTAAGGTGAAGGTCAAAAGTGAAGGGGGTGGTAAAAAGCAAGGGAGCCAGGGAGCAAAAGGGGATGGAGGAGGAAAGGGTGGCCGCGGCAAAGGGGTTCCAGTGGGTACCAGCAAGAAAGAACCTGCCAGTAAACGTCGCAGCGTCCGCCAAAGCACCCCGCGGAAAGGTGGCAACGAGAAGGCGCAGGCTGCCCCAAAACCGAAGGGACAGTAGAAAGGTGAGCATTGTATCCAATAAAACTGGCGTGACGTGTTGAACCATTTGCTAAACAGTGCCAAAAAACACCCTTTTTTCACATTGTTTCTCCCATGCAGGGAAGGAGAAGGTCGACGAATCTGCCAAGCAAGGTAAACCCTCTTGTCTCAAACCAGTACAACCCTGAACCCGATCTAGATTCGAACCTTTCTGAATATGCATGCATGTCTGCCCCCCCCTTGAAACCGATCGACTCTAATTTTTTTTTCCGGCTCCCTCTACATCTCAGCCCCTTGCGTTACAGGCATTGGGCCGCTCGTAAGCGTGCAACGAATGCATCTAACAAAGGCTGCCGGAAGAGCGAGTGTTACACTGCTCTCCTCCGGAGCACCAAGGTACTACACGCCATGGGCCGGCCCGAGCAAAGTCGCTGCGACGGCACCATGCAAGCCAAGAGGAGAGGAATCCAAATCCCCTCCACCCGCCCCCGTCACGCAGACCCCACTCGCCTCACCCTCGTACCAATTTCGGCAACTCCACGCTTCTCCTGTCCGGGGCAGGGCGGTCTCCCCTCTCGCCGATCCTTCGCGCGGGCATCAGGCAGGCAGTTATGCCAATCCCTTCCCTGAGCTCCCCTTTTCCCGCCAGCGTGATAGTGTGAGGGCACACGGGACTGCTGCAGAAGACGTTGATCCCCTTGGCCAGAGGGGGGATTCTTCACACCCTTTTCCTCCGCTCATGGGTGCCGTAGGTGAAAGTGCGGAGCACGAGCAGTTTGTTACACGGGAAGAGTTCCAGGCACTGCGGTCTGAGATGTACGCCATGTTTGCACAGCTCGGCCTGCGTCGTGGAGTACCTGCCAGCTATGCCGGCGGGTCGGCAGCCCTGCCTATGGCTGGTACCCCGCCGCCGACGAGCGCCGTGGACAAGGCACGAGTGCTAGTGTTGCTGGAGACAAACCCATTCCCGGTATGTGGCGGGCCACATGGGGAGGGTTGGGGTTGACGTGGCAACAAGGGCGGGGTTGGGGCTGACGTGGCGGTTTCAAAGGGAACACGGGAGCGGCGCGTGACGAGGCGACACGTATCAGGTGGGTGGGGGGTGACGTGGCATGGGGTGGGTGGGTGTGACGTGGCAAGTGGCGCGGGTTGTTGGTGGATGTGGAGGATGCGGGTTGGGTGTGACGTGGCAAAAGGTGAGGGTTGGGATATGACGTGGCGGTGTGAAAGGGTGCAAGGGAGCGCCGCATGACGGCGCGAGGCGTTTCAGGTGGGTGGGGGGTGACGTGGCTCTTGGTGGGGGGTGTGACGTGGCAAGTAGGGCGGGTTGTTGGCGGATGCAAAAGGGTGTGACGTGGCAGAATGTGAGGGTTGGGGCTGACGTGGCGGTTTGGAATGGTACACGGGAGCGGCGCGTGACGAGGCGACGCGTGTCAGGTGGGTGGGGGGTGACGTGGCATGGGGTGGGAGGGTGTGACGTGGCACGTGGGGCTGGTTGTTGGTGGACGTGGCGGATGCAGGAGGGTGTGACATGGCGGATGCAGGTGGGTGTGACGTGGCGGAAGGTGAGGGTTGGGGATGACGTGGTGGTTAGAAATGGTACACGTGACCAGTGCGCATGACGAAGCGAGGCGTGTCAAGTGGGTGGGGGGTGACGTGGCTTGTCGTAGGGGGGTGTGACGTGGCAAGTGGGCCGGGTTGTTGGTGGACGTGTCGGATGGCGCAGGGTGTGACGTGGCAAGTTCAAACAGTGTTGCTAGTCACCATCCCATGGTCACGCGGCCACCCTCATAACTGCTGGTTTCTCTCTTCCATGTCGTGTTGTATACCTTACACCCCTCCGCAGAACAAAGCCTACTTAGTGTGCTCTCAGCTCATGTTTCTGAACCCGCCGGAGAAAACACAGTACTACCCTGCACCGGAGGAAGTGTTCGAAGCGTTCTCTGTTCACTTGTCTGCAGAAGGGCTCGAGGCAATGAAGCTGCTGTGGTTGCACAATGACAAGTCCACCATGGGAGTCTTCAACCACCAGCTGTCCTCAACAAGGTCAACTATCAACTCCACCCTCAGGCCAGCAGCATACACTGGCATGGGCCTTGCCGATTACAACCATCTCGTCGATAGCCTGCCCACTGAGCTACACCCAACGACCTGGTTCAACGACGATCAACTCCTAGCCGAGTACAGAGATGGTATGTGCAGTGCAACTCGAAAACACATTATGCCCTACCAGATGCCCCTTGGCAGCTACATATCACCGTGCGATGTGGCTCACCCTGACTCTCATCCCCCCATTTGATTTCTCTACAAAACCCTTTCCAACCCATACCCTCCCTGCCAAAAAGCAGAACAGTGGGCCCTCAACTGGCACTTTGACAAGGCCACCGGGACACCCTTCAACAACCCCTTGTTCGCTTATGCGTTCAAGCTCTCCTTCAAGAGGGGCGGGGCGGTGTTCACCAAGTTCAAGAGCCGCATGGTGGCATGGGGCCTGTTTTCGGTAAGGATGTAGATATGTGTTTGTACCCCCATGCCTCATCCCCTTAACCCCTTGCCTGTACTTCAGCTAAAACCCTGGTCGATTAGGCCTTTGCAGTTACGTAGATAGTGACGACTCCATCACCGCTTTCAGTTGCCTCATTTACCCATAACCTACCCTCCTCATAAACCATCCACCCAACCCTACACCACATTGCAGATTGAATGGCCCCTTCTGCAGGATAAGCGTTGCAAGCGAATCAGTAGCCAGCCGGAGCAGAACAGGCCAGACTACCAGGAGTGGTGCGAAAAGGTCAAACATATGATCCATTTTGCTGTCGTGGAGCGGAGGATCCCCCACGATCCGGCTATGGGTGCGTTCGTCTTTCCGAACAAGTTCCTCATCGACGATGGCGGCCTTGGAGATGTCGTCCTTGCCCACCGGGCGCTTTCAAGGCCCGCCAGTGCGTAGGCTATTTGACCTGGTGCTAAGACTGCTTGTTGCTAGAATGCTGAATAATGGTTCTTGTAAACCGCAATAATAAATGCAATTTTTAAATGCAATTTTGAAATCCTCAATATCCAAAATGAACAAAAACAGAATTTAGTTTTGAATAATTTGGTCACGAATTTGCAACAAAACGGATTGCGCCCGAATGTCATCCGGAAACGCTCGCGTACCGAATTGGAACTTGAACCGAGCCAAACCTTGTCGCGAGATGCGTCTCGGAGCTCCTATCAAATGAGTCCAACCGTCGGTCCAAATTGGCTCCCGAATTTTTTACGCGAAGACAATCGAAATCAAAATTCGTCCAAACTTGGCATAGCGTTTTTGTGATGAAACTCTCAAATTTCATGCTGCATTATTTGTCCTTATATTTGCATCTGAACCAGTACAACGAGCTTTCTCCAAAATTCCCATTGTTATACTAGTTGGACCACATTCATCTTCCCACATACGAAATTGCACTGTTGACATCTTGCTGAGCAAATACAAACATTTTGAGGGTCCAATTTAAAAATTGGGAGGGATTGGGGAACAAAAGTTTTGCGGGGAGGCGCGAAATCCGGCTCCCCAGGTTGAAAGCACACCCCGTAACGGGCGCATCAAAGGTTAACCTTTGATGGCGACCCAGGTGAATGTGCACCGTGGTTTTAACACATAGATCTCCAATTTCACTCAGTTTTATGTTGGAAATCAAAGCTTGAACGTCGAATATTTAAAAATTTACTCAATTTTAGCTTCTCGTTTTCGGGGTCTCCTCCAAGGATCCTGAGGTGCCTGGCATACAGACCAATCCCTATCCAAGGGTCCGAGTTTGTCAAAAGAACTGATATAAAATAATTCAGCATAAGAGTGAGACCTTGCGCACATTTCATTATGCTGTTACAGACAACATTCGGTTGACGTGACGCTGTACGTATGCTATATTCATGCAATTCGACCACTTCTTGTCGACCATTGTCCAACACTGATGACAATTTTTGTCTTTGTTTTTTCACTAAAAGTGTCAAAATTACAAGCCCAAAAAGCCAACGGAACTTGGCCCATCTCAGTCAGTACCAGCCTTTTCAGGTACCAAGCCTCTGACTCACATCCTTGCTGATCTCTTCATCAGAGTGTTCGATGTGTTTATCATCCCCAGCTACTCCGCCCTTTGGGCTTTGGTTTCCACCAGTTGCACCAGGCACTGAATTTTTTTCTATCACTTTTGTTTAGATGGTGTAAAATGTCACTTTTGTTTTACTTGCAAGATCGTAGTTCAATGTACGATACGTTTGTTGGCTGGTTGTTATATTCAAAGTCACAACCTCACCCACATGTAACACTCCAAATCTCTGTTTAAGATCTCCAGCTACTGTTGAGAATTTGAGAATCTAGTTTAAGAATTTGAGATTCAAGTGTCTTAATTCAAGTATGAATATATCATGGAGAATCACATTCCTGACTCCATCTAGACCAAACAACCCATATTTCTGCAATTTGAGTTTAGGACTCTGAAATAACGAATATTCCGTGGACAACTTGACTTCTATGATTTTTTTACAACCGACTATGTGCAAATAGCATGTCAAGTAGGAGTCATTTCGTATTCAAGTAGTGGGTTGGGTCGAATACTGCTAGCATAAAAGCACAAAGTTTTTCGTTTACAGGCTTGATCCAGTCTCAACCTCTTACCGTAGCTCCCAAGTGGCTCTTTTACTTCACATAGTTTTGGCTACCCAGACCAACAATTATCTGTTCCACGATATTTAGAGCATTAGATATGTCCAATAAGCTCATTGTAAATTGCTTCCCACGAGTACTTTCCATCAACTCGCACCACATTTCTGGAAGTACCTGAAAATCCTCGAGTTTCATGAATAAAATCACTCAATCAAGCTTGGGGTCTTACACCAGGCTCACCCGCATGCATGCATCCAGGAGCATGATGGCCGGCTTCACATCGCAGTGCACAATCCGGCAGCTGTTGAGGAAGCTCAGCTTATCCACCACATCCACCAGCACCGCCAGCCTCACACGCAGCGACGTGGGCTTGGCTCCTGGGAGGTCGAGGCATGGGGTAATGAAGAGGGCATGAGGAGACAAGGGTTGTGGGGCGAGATGGGCGTGGCTCATGGAAGGTGCAGTCTGGACATGGGGAATAAAAAGCGCTTGTGAGAACAGGTCTAGGGGGGTTGGCTTATGGGAGTTGAGGGATGAAGGTATCGGGGAAGAGGATCATGGAGGAATGTGAATGAGAGAATGGTGCTGAAGAGGGCAGCCCCTAAATGAAGGTGGATATCAAGGCCAGCATTGTTATGAGCTCACAAAACATTTCATGTTGCACTCACTTGCTCCTTTCCTCCTTGCAATCTCTTGCTCCTTCCCTGCCTCGCACTGAGAAGAATTGAACGAGGATGAATGAACTATGAATGAAGTGAGTACAAATAGGAAACCCTAGTTGGGTTGTACCCCCTATGGGATACCCCACTATAGCCTATACAAATAAGTAAGCTATAATATTCTGACACACCCCCATAGGCAAAGTGGGGGAGAACAAGGGGTCACAAGACCAGTCAAGCAAAGCAAAGCAAAGCTCAGGGTGGATAACAAAGTCACCACACATTCCGAGCACAAGTTCAAGGGCCACAAGGCCAGTTCACATGCAAGATCATATATAGAGATATACAAGAGTCAAGCAAGCAAGAGCAAGAGTATATATAGGTCAAGGTACAAGCAAGGTCAAGAAGTGAGCAAGTGAGGCAAGACACGCACAAGACCCAGCTGCGTGCAGCAACGCTAATGATCACAAGGCGCAAGTGCCTTGGTGAAGACATCAGCAGTGTTGGCCTAAGAGGCCACGTACGCAAGTCGCAACTGTCCACGCTGCTGTAGCTCACGAGCAAGAAAGTAGCGGAGAGCAATGTGCTTTGTCCTGTGCTCCAGTCGCTGCTCTCGACACAAGGCCAGCATGGCCTTGTTGTCTACGTACAGAACTGGAGGAGAACGAGGCGGCTCTCCAAGGTCGGTCAGCAGGTAGGTGA